TGCCCCCGTTCTGCACCCATATGAGGTACTCCTTGCTTATACGCCCATCTCACAGCATGTCGTCACAGAGGACAACAGCCTCTCATTCTGATATATCCAAGCTGACAACAATCGACAGCTCTTATCGGTAAGTGACACGGAACATAAAAATGTGCTGCACGTCTGGCAGCTCCGTCGACATTGCCTTAAAGCACAAATAAACACTGCTCAGATAGCAATGCATTTCTTGATAGGGAATGAGCGTACACTTAAGGATGCCTGTCATTGTCCTGCCTTGGGCACGTTATGTAACACCCAGCCCGTGACACATAGCGTTGTATAAGAAAATGGTTCAGGACAAGCAACACGATGTTAAATATTAATACACTGAGAAGACTAAGGAAGGAGATACAGGTGGTGCTTTGTAGTGTTCATCTCTGCGTAACTCTGAGCTGTTCATACCCATTCAGCCACTGACATCTTCCTGGGGGGAGTTACTACCCTTCACTCTGTGTGTCTGGCATCTGCACGATCTCTCCATGTCACATGGCTCTCCTACAGCAGTCCAAAGACAATCACTTAGTGCAGCTGGTGTCTATATTGCCCACAGCGTGTGATTGTGTGTCAGTGCACGTGCCCTGTGATGGACTGGCATCCCGTCCAGGGTGGATAAGCGCCAGGCCACCCTGTGACTCTGACCAGGACACTTGAAGATGGATGGATAGTTGGATAAACTGATGGTAGTGTGTGTGTGTGTATGTGCCCTGTAATTGGCTGGAACATTATCCAGGGTGTACTTACATACTATTATTCTTATATATTATTCATTCAAAGTAAGTAAACTTTCAAAATATTAAATTGATAGCTAAATAACTAGGGTGACTTTTCCAGTGTTTCATGGTTGACTATAATTCTGGGAACAATTTTCCCGAAATAAATCCCTCCATGCTCTCTGGTCAGGTGCCTGAGTGGTGACTTCAGTCATTATGCAAAGTCGTGTTACTCACCGAGTTAATATTTGATTATGTTTGCAGACATAGAAATCCCCTCTGCGTATTTTCTATCAGAAATGGTGGATTATCTTTCTCCTCTTCATCCGGAAATCGTAACACCGCATTCATGACAAAAACTTGAGTAAGCTGCTAGTCAATTGCTGCTGGAGGATTCTGGTAAAGAAAAATCTTTGTTTTGGTTTTGCGTGCTTCACTTTTAAGTGCCAGGGTGTACTCAAGGTAAATGACAGATTAATTAAGAGGTCAGACCAAATGAACTAAACGAGATATGTTCATTACCAGCATCTTTGTACTGTGTGCTGACATGTCATATTATTTTTGTTTGACAGTGTCCCAGGTCTGCTTAATGAAATGATGTCAAAAACAATCAAAAACCTGTGCCTGCTTAGATTGGCTTCCTTGTTCTCTTGGTTTCACTGGATTGTTTTGTGTGAGGGTTGGGTTTGATAGATGGCCAGTGATTTCCGGTCAGAGTTCTGCATCCTGCCATCACACAATGTGACCGTAGCCAATATAACGCAGCTTGCTTTCTTTGCTGAGTATCCTAATCCAGTGTCATTTTAACGTTTAGTCTTTGCTTATTTTCTCTTTCGCTCGCAGTGGCTCTGTCAAAGTTTTATGACCTCCTCTGGGATGATCGACAGGGACGGATCCAAACGAACTCTGCTCCTCAGAGGTCAGCGCGTACTGTGAGAGAGAAGAAAAATATGTCTACAAGAAGCTAAACACCACAACAAAAATTACGATAGCAGTTAAAATACCCCCAAAATAACTAGTGCCTGTATAAGTTTTGGGTAGCGCAGTGGTTGTTATTTTAATGACACACCTCCAAAGTTGAAGGTTTGAATCCCCATCCCTCTGTACTTCCTTGCTTGTTTCGGTGTACTTCCTCTCCCAGTCCAAATATATGGCTAGATGACCTGGTATCTCTATGTTGTGTTGTGTCCTGTCCAGTGCATCCCCTGCTTTGTGCCCTATGCATTATGGGATAGATGAATGGTGTAATTAAACACACTGAATTACCTGCTTGGGCTAACAAATAATACTTGAACCTAATCCTTATTGTTGATTACCTCTTCCACTTCACGAGCAGAGACAGCTGCCTTTTAATGAGGTGCTTAGTAGGGAACAATGGGCAAAATGTGTTTGGTAGATTCACAGAAATCTACACGTGAAAATGATACCTTCTAATAAAGAGATTAGTTGCTTTATTCTCAGTATTTTTTAGTACAAATTGTTTCTGCGATTATGCAGATTTAACAGAAGGGTGGCATTTAAAAAACCCAAATTGAATTTATATTAAAATAACTGTATAGCATAACAGTTTCACATTTATGTGCTTGTGTTGGAAGGTTTTGTTGTTAATGCCATTCCTGCTGTACTGTGTACCAGTCTGCAAGATGCCCCGGACAAAACGCACCCAGGAGGTATGTGGAAAATGTAAATATAGTATTTGCATAAATACTTGGCAAGGCGGTCGTGCGGGTTTCTTGGGAAAAATAAACACAGTATAGCGTCTGACATTTCTATGGCTTGTGGGTACAAGGCTAATTGGTGGCTCTAAGAAGGTCCCCTTTGCTAAGAAGGGAATGCTGCACTGCCAGCCTGCCTCCAGGGGGCGCTGATACACCAAACCCCCCTCCAGTTAGTGTAATAAAAGGCATAATGTGAGTCCATTCCTGCTGATGCCATCCACCAATGCCAAGGGTGACGAGACTCAGGTGCTGGGCAGTCTACGGCTCTCGTCACATGCTGGGTTGGATGGGGGTGCTGGAGTTACTACCCGACACCCTTCCTCGGCTAGCTCTACCCCTCAGCGGTGAACAGGTGAGGCTACTGGACTCCCTAAACTGTCATATTTACCTTCTGTTCACTTAGCTAGCCTGGAATGCTAAGTGACATAATCCACAGTGACTTACCCAACACCACTGATACAAGAGCATAAAACTGCCCAGTGCCACACTAGTCACGTTAGATAACACTTCCTGTGTCCTCCTCCCAGAGCTGTGAGCCTGACATTTTAGCTGTCCTTGCTTCCCTGCTTCCCGTTATATATGCTATGGATCTTACAGTGGTCTGTCCGAGCTGAACACAGCACACGCATGCTGGTTATTATCTGCAGATTTGTTCTGGTGCTGTGCCCAGGGACTAGGTTTAAAGACACTGCACCCCGGAATTTAATCACAAACGTCAATATTTCCTCCGATTTCAGCGGGCCGTCATTACAGAGTGCAGACTGTAGTATTTCCGTGAAACACGGACAGCCGGCCGCTACAGTGGAGAGCCGTGCTTTTGCTAAACCCCCTGGCTGTAAATGTTCATCCTGCTGGGCAAACAAAGGAATTCAAAGGAAAATGGTAGCGTGTTGCTATCTGGCGTTCTGCGCTTCCAGGGAGGGGGAAAAAAAACATGGCTATGGTTAGACACAATGTTGGGGGACAGAGCCACAGGCGGAGAGAGGCGAGAATGACCTTGGGCTGCTGCTCTGTTTTGAAGTGGATAAAGTAAAAAAATAAAAATAAAATAGGAACAGAGATATAGAAGAAGGGATGAAACGGCATTGGGGGAGGTGAATCGGCAGCTCCAGCTGTCACTATCGGTCTTCCCTTCTTTCTGGTTCCTCACCCAAGTTCATTAATTGAGGATAAGATGACAAAAGCTAATAACCGGCACACAACAGAGAAGGCAGGGGATCACTGTTCCCTTCATAAGAGGAATAAATTATTGCATACATTATTTATGAATGCCATTTTCATCACACAAAGGCCTGTCTTGAGTAGTGGGTGAACAGGTATTCAGGCAGCTGAGCGTAGCTGGTACTGGGTGGGTCGCCCTCCCCGTAAACCCTGCCTCATTTCACATACAACTGATAGGAAGCCCTGGAGAGCACAGTGCATGCAGGATTCTGCTGCTTTCCTAAGAAAGTAAAAATAATATGTGTTTTTATTCAACGATGGCTGACTCCGTACGGTGTTGTCAGCACAAAACTGCTTGGATTTCTTGTTTTTAGACAACGAGTTTCCTCTCTGGCCTCTAAGGGACGATAATAATAAAATAATAAACGTTCTCCGGTCACTCAGCTTTACAGGTATTCTACGGATCACGTAAAAGAACAGCCTGAACAAAACAAAACTAATCAAAAAATTACGATAAGGATAAGAAGGGGTCCTAAAATGCCAGCAAACCTCGGCAGTAGCACAAAATCAGATCCGGAGGACCTTCTTCTGTTGGGTCACGCTGCTGTAGCTCGGCTGAAGGTAACATCATGTTATGTATGAGGACCTTCTATAGTCAGGCTGTCTCTGACGTACCCCCAGAACTATTTTGAAAGTGACATTTATAACCAGTCTACATCTTCCGTGAACTCTTCAGCCAGCTACATCATTTATCACCATCGGGATGCAAACAGATTTTTAATCCAAATCTGGTCTTGTTATCTACCAATTTTTAGCACATTAGTCTTCAAACATGTGTCCTATGAAGTGATTGTCGGACAGCCGACAAGATAAATGTCAGCTGTATCGTGCAGTTTAAGCCGGTGGCGTAGCGGTTGAGGAGCCACACTTATGACTAAAGAGTGCTGCTGAAAATGACATCAGTAGTGCAGCTATCTAGCTGTATAAAGCGGCACAATGAGAGCACTGACATAATGGATGCGCATGGAGTGTGTGGCTCAGTGGGTTAAGCCGTGTGCTTGTAATCAGAAGGTTACTGGTTCAAACCCAGCCTCAGCACATCTTATGCTCCTTGAGCAAGGCCCTTAACACCCAGCCCCCTGGGTGCTGCTACAGGTAGCTGCCCTTCACAGACAGCTTACTCTACAATGAACAAGTTGAAGGAGGCATAAAGACAATTACGCCATTGGGATTAATACCATATCAATTATTATTTAGTATACAAAATGCAACCACCTTTTCAAAACTGCTTATTATACATGTATTTATTGTTTATTTATACTACATGTACAGATTAAACATTTACATTGAACATTTTAAAAAGTGTCTGTATCCATGAAGAACAAGTTTCAATTGATTCCACTGGCCACTGACATGCATTAGAAATAATGTAAATGTGAAAAAATAAAATTGAAGAACTGTTAACATGTATTTTCCAAAAAACTTGAGAAATTAGCAGTTATTAATAATGCCTGCTTCCAGGAATTATGTTAATCATTAATAACATATCAGCCATTATATGAAACAAACTTTTAATGATTACTGTTATTTGTCATTGAGATTATGTCCATAACTGATTTGTTAGTAGGTAATTCACAGCCTTTGCAGAATATTGTGGTTCCTCTTTGTTTTCCCAGGTTAAGTACGAAATATTTTGTCTCCACTTTCTACCAGCAGATGAAGTTTTGTGCTGTCAGCAGCTTCAGTAGGCAATTGTACTCTTAAAAAAAAAAGAAAAAAGAAAAGAGAGAAGCAAAAAGAAACATCACAAGCTTTGCTCTGCGGTTGTTCGATGAAAGCTGGCGGTAAGAGACTGATGCAATGGGACATGAAACAGAGAACGTGGCAGAATACAGTGTCTGGCTGTAGGAGACACTAATCAAACCTGTCTGTTACATACCATTGAAAAAAATAGCAATTAAAAATATGTAAGGTGCAATTTGCCTCCTTCGGACAGCCAAGGGCAGCTAAAGAATACATCATTTGTACACTTATTTCAAGCTGAATTGTACAGAGGAGCTTTACATTTCTTATTATTTAAGCAGGTATAGTGATGCATCTTCAGTATTTTAAGTATATTCTCTACCTTCTGGATCTCTTTTGAAATGTAGCTATTTGCCATCCGCTAAATTGCACGGCAGAAACAGCAATCATCATCACCGTCACCACCATCCCCATTCACGGCCATTCGTATAATTGTCCGCAGTGGTTTCCTTTATTCTATTTTGATCCATTGTGAACGCAGCTCTCATCCGCCGCAGATGACTGGCGCCTGAGAATCACGGGCTGGATTGAAGCGTGACTCAGAATCGCGCCATTTATCGCCCGAGCGGTGGTCTGTGATTTCGGAAACACAAAGGCGGGCCGCGGTGGGGGCCGAGGACCCGGGGCTGCGCACACGGACCAGCTAAATGTCTTTCAGTTTCACAGAAAGACTCGTGTTGCAAAAAAAGGATAAGGGTGACGTGTAGCTGAGGGTCTATCTGGAAAAGGTAGGTCACAGTTTTGATGGCCATGTAGTAAACTGAATTCTGGGTAAAAGTTTTTTTTCCACTGTTTGCAATTAAAAAAGTAATTTAAAACGTACTATATATATATATATATGTCATCTTGGGGTTTCCTCTAGGTTCTCCAATTTCCCCCCACAGTCTACAAACATGCGACAGAAAACTGTAGTTGCCAAAATTGTCCGCAGGTATCAGTGGGTGTCAGTGGGTGTCAGCGGGTGTCAGTGGGTGTCAGCGGGTATCAGTGGGTGTCAGCGGGTATCAGTGGGTGTCAGCGGGTATCAGCGGGTATCAGTGGGTGTGTGCCCTGTGATGGGCTGGTACCCTGTCCTGGGATATTCCCTGCTTTGTGCCTGTTGTTTCCAGGATAAGCTCCAGACCCCAGAGACATGTGGTTTAGACGATGAATGAAAATATAGAACGCATGTTGTGAATGGTTTTATAATACAGTCTTTTCTGTGGTGATCATCTGGATTTTTGCTTGCACATGTTATCAAGTACTCCAATATGCTATTTGCAGGTTGATTTCACTCCATTACAAGCAGATTTATAATAAGTTTTTTGCAAAATTATATTAATCTTGGAGTCACTTCATTTCTGAATGATTATTTCAGCCACTATATATATTACTGCTTTAAAATAGCATAGCTGTAAATCTGGGCACATTGGATTGCTGAACCAGGACAAAACCCTAGAGGATACTTACACATTCAGAGAGACACAGCTCATCAAAACTGTATTAATCCTCTGAAGCAGGCTAAGGGGAACTGGAACCATGTTCTTTAACAGTCTGGAAAGACAAGAAGCATTTTCTCTTCAGCCCGTAGTGTCTGGGGAAAAAAAAGCCAAATAGGATGCTTGAAGTTCATAGCAGCAGGCAAAGTATGGTGTTGTGTGGCAGTGTCACACTCTGTGGAAGATCTGCTTCATCAGGACCTGGGTGCCATCATTGATGGAAGTATCAGTTCTGACCTAGAGAAAATTCCACAGGAGGATATCAAGCCCATGAGCAGTTGAGTCCTGGCACAAGACAGTGATCCAGAATACAGCGCAAGAAGACAACATCAGAGTGCTTAAAGAAATGAAAAAGTAAGTTTTACAATCTACTGGTAAAGGTTTACGCTCTACTGAGATGTTGTGGCAAGACCTGAGACAAGCAGCTCATGCATATAAAACCACACACATCACAGTGCCACTGCTAGATGCTGCTACAGGACATGTTCGGGGTAGTGGGGTTGGGGGGAATTTTTCAAATAAAGCCACTGGATGCCATGTAATATCTATTATTAATTAAATCACATTAGTAAAACTGTTCTGTTATTTGTTCAGTCAAGTTCCCATTAATGTAATATTTGGTTTTGGTTTAAGATCTGCAAACATTCGGCGCAGCATACCAGGCTGAGAAACAGATGGGACCCAAAGACGTTTCACAGTGCTGTAGATAAAGGGTTTAATTTCCTCAATTAATAAATGTATGATGACATTAGGTTTGCCTCAAAAAGCCAAGAAAAGAAAGCTATTACAAAATACAAGTATGCATAATCAAGGACATACCTAACGTACCATCATATTTGATATAACCTTAAGCGCTTCATTTATAAATGAACAGGTAGATAAAGTGCTCAGCTATTTCGACATGTTGCTGTATCTAAAATAGATAAACAGAATTCCAGCTCCAGCAGATGCTCTGTGTTTTCTAAATCATAATAATGGCCACTGATGAAAACTGTCGACGTGTAAATGCGTAGAAGGGCGGTGATGCAACACCGTGCAAGACAGGAGACAGCACACTGAACAGAGCTATAGGTCTCCATTCCTGCGACGCTCCTTTCAAACGGTCGCATTATTCTAGTGGCTCTTCAGTAAACGGTCAGCGACATGGGAGAGGACAGGCTGAGGATGTCTGAACATTACAAACATAACGGAACACATCTCTTGATGTGGCCTGAGGCTGTTCAGACCCTGCAAAGTGTGTGACAGTCGCGGCCAATCAACTATCCCATGATGCGATCCTGCGATTCGTCATTCTTATGATCGATAATGTTGGTACAATTCTGTGGACACACCCTATCAGAATCAGTCTGATACCAAGCAAAGTTTAAGGTCTTTTCAGGGCTGGAGTGGGACTGAGTTTCTGACCAGCCTTTTTTTTTGGGGGGGGGGGGATTGATCATGTTAAATTGTATTTCTGCTATATCCATTCCCATTTTTTCTTCTGTTGTCACCATCCCACAACCTGAACGGCCACCTGCAGCAGTCCCTGTGCTCTCCATTAGCCACTCTGGCAAAGGTCCTGTTTGGAGAAGTGTGTATTGATTTCTACCTCCATAAAATCCATCCATCCAGTCATCCCCCATAACCACTTTTCCAATACAGCATCACGGGCTGCTTGAAGGCTAGCCAAGGCAGCACGAGTTAGAGGGCACTCTGGACAGGACAGACACCATGAGAACAATATCAAATATAAAATATACAATAACTACTTGTTTTTGGATTGCAGGAGAAAGTATTCAGGAGTGTTCAGAGGAAACGAATGCAAAAATAAGGAGAACATCAAGCTGCCAGCAAGAACTAAAGCCATTTCTCTGCAGTGCTGAAATGACTCTATGCAGTGGCCCTACAGTGACAATTTATTGAGTGTTTACATCTCTATCTGTTTACTGCAGTGGTTTTCAGTCCTGTTCCTGGTGCCCCCCTTGCCAGAATGTTTTCATTCCAACCCATGCTGCTTTCAACCTGCTACACGGATTATTAGCCTATTAAGGACCATATTGGTACCCATTAGGGTAGGGCTGGAATGAAAACGTTCTGGCTTGGGTTGGGGGCACCAGAAAAAGGACTGAGAATCTCTGGCCCACTGTCACTAGGCCCCTGAAAGAATATGTTTTTATCATAGATGAGAATGCATGCTAAAGATCAGAAATTATGACCAGCAAATGGTACCTCTAAATTCTACTGGAAATAGTGCTGATTCTATTAACCCAAAATGATTTTGAAACCACAATAAAGTGGAGTAAATGAAGTTAAAATGCTTTGGTTAGTTTTTTGGTTTATTAACAATGTAAATCCTGTGTTATTTTTATAATGCATGATATTGACAATTTTGATAATATTGGTTGAGCTTATAAAGTTTATTGGTCGTGTGCTGGGCTTGGAAGTTTGTGTCATCACAGTAAACCTTTAAGAAAGTTTGAGCTGCTTCAGAAAAGTGTGCAAGTAGTCTGGAAACCAAAATTGTTTTTGGCCGTAACCTTACACATTTTCAAAAGTGCTTTTATGAATGTGACAACAAACTAACACTTGCTTGAATGTTTTTTGTTTGCCTGGAGTCTTTCCCAGACAGCACAGGGTACGAGGCAGGGTTACACACTGAAGAGGATGCAATCCACTGCACACACACACACACACCCACACACACACACACACACACACACACACACAGATCAATTTAGAGATGCAGATTTGTCTAACCATATAACTATATATATAAAACTGGAGTATCTGAAGGAAGACTTCGTCAAACATGGAAAATATGCAAACTCTGCACATATAGCAGGAGCAGAATATGAAAAAGGAAGAATATTTATTTAGTACATTCTTACCTTACCCTATCACTTTCCTTGTATATCTATATATACTATACTGGTGTCATACAATACATATTGCAATTAAATAGTTTTTCAAAGCGCCTAGTTTATTCAGATATTACAGCTGCTTTCAAACTTAGCAAAGCAGTGATTTGTTATCGCAAACATTTATTTATTTTCATGCTGAAAAATAGAAGAAAAAAACTTCATGACTGAAGCAAAAATATGAAAAGAATTGTAGTTTTCGATTAAAAATGGTTCTGCTACTGTTTTGGCCAAGATAGGGTTTTATTTACATTTATTGTCCCTCAAAGCAAGCTAATATTTTGCTTCCCTGTGCACATGCTGATTTCAGACATTTATAATGAAAACTGTGCAAGAAAAGTTAACTAAAAGGACAGTGACTCAGAAAAAGCAATATGAAAGAGATGATTCTCTGAACCCACCAAAGCTCCGTATAACAAATTCAATTTGTGTTTCTGTTATGTAAATATTTTGTAACATTATGCTGAACATAGCTTGGAAAAAAAAGTATAAGAGTAGGAAGAAAGTCAACATAATTTTCAAAATCTAAAGTTCTGATTAAAACAGCTTGGCTTGCAGCTTTGAAATAACCCTGTAAGCGATGCAATGTCCCTCTTTTTGTTTTTCTGTTCATTTTTTATAGGTGAAGAAAACATGGTGTTCACTATGTTTACTGTATCAAGCAATGTGAAATTTAATTGTGCACAAGAAGATGTCTCCCAGCTTTTGTTGAGCAAAACTTTAACAATGATATAGTCCCTTACACCCTAGGCAAATTACACTGCTTGTTCAAGGAAAGAGATGTAGGAATATGGTATACACTCGAAAAAGAAAGGAGTTATTCAGATAGTAATTACATCAACTCCCTGTTACATTCTCGTCTTACTTTGTATCAAGAACTTGTAGCTGTCACATGTGATGTCTGTGAAATTTAGTTGATTAGGAGAACAAAAGCCCACTCAGATACAGTTTGGCCTTCAAACTTCCACACTTTCCTAAGCCCACCCAGATGAAACACAGCATTTTTATATCTACCAAGAGAAATGTGGCAGGTCAGATTATTAGAGAGAAAAAGTGGATAAAAATTACAGGCTAAGGTAAAGTTAGGAGGTGAACCCATTGATGCTGGCTGTTCATTGGAAGCTCAACCTAGCTGCACTTGTACCTAGTGCATGGACTTCTTGGTAGCTGTGTGCTTGTGCTATACCACCTGCCACGCTTATACATCACATTGGACAAAGGTATCTGCTAAATGAGTAAATGTAAATTCACTTTGGCTTATTTCCAGTATAACAAACTGGCCTCTGTTTTGTCTCTCAGTCCCTACAAAACACCCCCAGGCCTGGGTGCTTGATTTTACACCCCATTGCAGATCCTCCTGTCACTACTTCTGATCCGATCATGTTTCCCATGTACTAAAGCTCAGACGGCCATTTCATATTCCTCTCCAGCATTCCGTTAAACCATCCCTCCACACCCACACTCAGATCCTCATTACCTCCCCCATCCCCGTGTCACAGGACTCTGTTCGCTGTCCTGCCTGCAGCAAACACTTTTAACAGACAGAGAGACATGCATCACACCACTACGAAAATGACAGGCTATGAGCTCTCGACATATAGCAAACTCCTGAAAAAAGGGGGAGGCTGGATGATGAGCAGTGAGGGGAAGAGTCTTGGATGGAGCCTGGTGTTATTTGGGAACACCTGTGCACCCCGTGACCAGGCAGGTGGTCACTTTTTCTTACTTACCACGAATTGGTTAGGGCAGAAATCCAATGAATTCCTCCTTTCATTACCCGTAAATTTCTCCTGTGAAACAAGACACTGCACTCAAACGAGTGAAAAGCAAGACAAATCGTCGGGAAAAGCTCTGAAAGCTAAATTGAGGCAATTTTATAGCACCAGACTATAGATGAAGACCATTTTTCATAGACTTCAGTTAGTTATCAAACAATTGATCGTCTCTCTAATGATCAAATGCTTACTGGGTGACATTTCAACCACACAGGACTGAAACATCAACTTTACAGTAAGGAATACTTTTATCCTTCAACACATTGGATGTATCAAAATATACTTTATGGGGATGTACATATGACCAGGGAACTGAAAACTTATCTTTTCGTAGTTTTTCTTTAGATATTTCCAGTAGACCAGCTCCATTTTTCTGTCACACTCTTTCAGACTTCGCTACCCAGCACAGAAGATGCTATGAAGCCTCAGAGTATAATTCTCATGCTATTTAATGTTGAAATTCTGTGGCAGAAATTACAAAAGTAAAGACAAGATCATTGAGAGCAATGGTTGTTTGCTACTTGACTTTACTGTTAAATCTAGTTTTAGCATCTCTTTCTACTGGAATGGAATGTAGACCATTATATTAAAAGGTAAACAAAAGGACCAGCCATGTCATGTGTGTTTCTAAATCCATACTTGGTGTGTATAATATATAAGCTGCCATGGATTTTCTCTCAAAGCATCATTTTTAACTAATAATTTCAGTAGCATTTCTTTAACAATGGACATTGCTCCTGCTTTTTCTACTGCTCTGACAATTGCTCTGGTCAGGACAGCAGAGGCAGCCGTGCATCATGGGATAGGAAGGATTTGGGAGCGGGGATTTCTGGGCCACAGGAATGGGCCAAGCGCTGGGTTATCCCGAAAAGCAGCGGGGAAACACAAAGAAATGAATGTTGTAATGAGAGAAGGAAATGTTGTTGGCGCCGGGCAGAACAAACACGGGAATGCGGCCTGGCAGCGGGACCTGGGCAAGTTTACTCGGGGAAATGGAAAAACATCCAAGCGGAGTATTTAGCAATCAATCAGCACAGTGCACATTAGGGATAGGACTCCACTGCCTTTGAGACAACCAGCCTATTACACTCATCTCATAATCACGCACCATTCTTGGCTTAAAGGCACAAATTAGAGCTGCACAGTGATGTCATTATCTCTACCTGTATCTGTCTACCCAACAAAATCATCTACACTACCAATCAAAAGTTTCTGCACACGATGAGATTTTCTACATTTGCATATTACTTAACATTCACAAAAAATATACTCAGTTTTCTATGCTAACAAAGAAATGTACAGTATGTTCACCATTTTAGTACTTTTATTAGCAAGAAAGTGTCAAATCTTTGAAATAAAGTAACCTCCTCTAGCAGTTATAACAGCCGAGTAAATTTGAGGCATTCTTACCACAAGGAATACTAAGTGCTACTGAGTTTCATGGGAGGAAACAGTTAACAAGTGGATTTAAAGTAAAGGACAGCCTAGAATTTGACTGTGCCTTCACCGCATAACCAGTTAATAAGATGTCAGACATGCACTGTTACAAACTACAGTACTGTGCAAAAGTCTTAGGCAGTCCAAAGAAATGTTTAAAGCTGTTTATCTGGGTAGCAAGTGTAATTTGGCTTAGAACAAAATACACAATTTAAGATTAGAACATGTGCAAATTAAGAGTAACACAATAAAAACTAGTAATAATTTCATCTGTTTTCTAAAAAGTCAGTTGGATGGCTAGATGAACAGCGCTTCAGTTCCCAAACTTCTCCTCAGGGGCACCTCAGCCGTTCCATGAATTTGTTAAATTTCACCAACAGCTCAATTAAATAATTAAATAAATTGGTTTTAAAAAGTCAGTGACAGATTTACCAGCTGTATGAGGTGTGATAGTGGCCAAGTCAAAAAATACATGGCTGCACTGGACGGGATGATTTTAGCAGAGGTTGTGAATGGCTAAGCGGACACACTTTGACAGGCATAATATCATAGTTTTACACCAACACGAGGATAATCTAAACATCATTTTCTTTGCCTGCCTGTATATCCATGTTATATTTTCCTTTATAGTTGTTCACTCAACTTCCTAATGCTTAACAACAGATGAGAATGACACCTCCTCCCCCGGTGAGTGTCAACTGGCCAGCGCTCAGCCCGCTGCCTGTTGTGTGCTAGATGGTGGGTCGCTAAACAGAATATAGCGATCTCTTTAATGATTCGTATTAAATGGAATGACTAGTTAGTGAAACCAAAGTCCTGTGTTTCAAACGGAACGGGCGTTTGTGTCTTGTGGCCGTCCACTATGATATGAATCGATTTGAAGAAACACAAACATGTCAATCATGTCACTTTCTCTAAATAATAATGTGAAACTCGGGGTAGAAAAAAATATCTGTTTACAATGCATTATCTGTGTGTTTCGAATAATGTACCCCAACTACACCCACCCACACACACACACACATTTATACATATATGTATATAAATTAAGCACCTAGAATAATGTTATGAGGTATATTATATGATGCTGGGCCTCTTACTTGTCAACGCAGAGGAATTTCCTCTTTTCCTGAGGCACCTGCATCTCACACTATCCATTGTACACCCTAATAGTTATTGAATACACTACTAGCCATTGCAGAACTTCTTTGACTCCCATAGGAAAACGTCTGGTAAATGAAAGCGAACGTCGCCATTGTTCCAGTAGCTTTGCTGTGTACTTTCTTTGTCTTACTCAACTCCTGAAAAACATTACATTTTAAGTTTAAATCCAAAGTAAAAATTCATAATTAATATCATGTAATTAATCCCACTCTTTTTTAAAGTCCCTAAGATCTGTCACAGAAGACTGCATTCTGTTGCAGTAGTTAATTGTTTCCAGGTGTATTTAAAAGGGATAAGCCTTGGAATAGCTGCTATTAATGCTTATAAGAAGCATCCTTCTAATACCTTTTAATACATTGGTTAACTGCACCTCCTGCTGGCATATGGCCTTAATCACTTAGCTGGCACCAAGTCAGCCCCCCACCAGGAAAAACAACATAACCAAGTCTCGCGCCAGACTTACTTGCGGCTCCAACCTTTCTTAGAAGAGCTGTTTGTTTTCGCTGTTGCACAGAGGGAGATGTCGTGATGACAAAATAAGCCCACTGATTGGCATGTTTCTGGAACGGCCGTGGGCAGGCATGCACCAGGGTGCCAGGCAACAGCCCAGCCACCATCATGACTGTCGGGAATGTTCCGTACTTGTGTCAGCCTGAGCTGGTGGAGCCAGGTGTTGGCTATTACCTGATAACTGCATTTCCTACCTCGTTGCCGTTACAGCCTCACTTATTTGTGGCACTTTCTGAAAGGGTAACGGAAAAGGCTTCACTACAGCACGAGCCTGACCAGGAGTGGTTAGGAGATAGATGGGTGGATGGATGTAAAAGGCCCTATAATAATTTAACAGAAGATTTCTCTACAGTAATTATATATGTGATTATATACATACTAACTTAGAAAACAGAAAGTGAACATAGTCCATTAACTCAGGCATATTCAAAACAATTAACTCAATTATGTAACTAGCATTCTTGTTATTGATAACATTCTTTTATTTTACTGTATACAATTTAAATCAGGGCAGTGCACAAAACAATGAAACGAGAAACAGAAGCATTTCACGTCATCCATTGAAAAGCGACGTCCCATGCACATCACATCAAAGAGCACTGACAGCAGAGAAATTATCCCTGGATCTGAGTGGGGAACGGAAAGTGTGTCATTAAAGTCAATACTTTCAGAATGAGGTCCTGGAAAGAGAGAAGCCAGAGCCGTGGGTGACGGTCCAACTGACGTTCCTAGGGTTGCGAGGACAGAACTCTGGAATGTGAGGATTAAGGAGACGTCATAGCTAAACTGCACCATCAAGACAGCCCTGTTTGATGTACAGGCAGGTCTTATTCATGAGATGCTTTTGATTATATGTCCTCTGCTATCTCGGTGCTCTTATCAATTCAGAAAGACCTGGAAAATCTCTCTCTCTCTCTCTCTCTCTCTCTCTCTCATATACACCAAAAAGGTGGTCCTCAAAATGTCAGAATATAAGCTTTTTATCACATTGTGGGGACATTTGGTATACCTGCACACACACACAGGCACTCACACACGCACACACATATCGGCTAAAAATATCTTTATGGGACCACTCATTAATTTCTATGGAAAAAATGCTAACGCTAACTATGACAACCTTAACCTACACCCAGCCCTAACCATAACCATAAGCAACCAAGCAAAATACATCAGTTTTTGCATTTTAAGTTTTTTCATTGCAGTCAGTCACAGATTTTTATTAAATTGAATTTTCCCTTATGGGGAACAGGAAACTGGTCCCCATAAGGGGAAAAAAAACAAGTTATTCATCACGTTGTGGGGACATTGTGCCCCATAAGGTAAGGTATACCCGCTCACACACACACACACACACACACACACACACACACACACACATATAAGATGGCTGGGAATCAATAAAAAAAAACCAAAACTAATTAATCATACAGTTTTCTGCCATTAATTTTGATTACTCATACCTAATATTAGAACTCATTACCATAAATATTTATACATTGAATTCCCATATTAATGTAGAATTATCACAAAGGGGAGTGCATTGGTCATTGTCATGAACTCATTACTACAACATATTAATTTTCTCTAATTTTTAAAGTTAGTTTGAAGAGAGAGTAAAATTATACAAATTGCCAATTCTGACTCTAGGTTAGTTAATCAGTTTCAAATCAGTTTCAGCATCAAAAATAAACTAAGTGATTGTTTATTATAGGAAACATGCAATAAAAGTGAAAGTTTTAAAATTATTTTATGGAGTGATGGGGAAGCTACTTATAAATGGTAGCTTTTCAAGATACCAGCTACTTGTGATTAAAAGTAGCTAAGCTATAGCTACGGTATTATTTTAATATAGTAGTTAGCTATACTACAAGCTACAGAGAAAAAGTAGAAAACTACTTCGAAACTGTTTCATCTGGTAATACTTAATACTTGTGCTGTAGGATACTCTTAAAGCAAATTAATAAAAAAATATATGACACATGTTAAAAGAAAGATGAAAATCTGTATTTTTTAATTATGTACTGTCAAATCACAATAAGGTTTAAAAAAAGTGTCTTTATTTGGTGTAAACTAAGAGTACCTCATAATTTCTTTGTGAAAATTAGAAAGGTTGCAACAAAAAAAGAGAGATTTTGATAATCGTCCCAAGAACCAAAGCGCTTCTATGCATTTTAATGAAAGTGCCTAAAATATTGTTTGCTGTAAAGTATCTGTAAACCCTTTAACATCCACCCACAGAGTAACCAAGCGAAACACACCAATCAGAAACACCTGGTAGTTGAAAGTACCCGTCTTTGCAAAGAGGGAAACATAATACAGGTCATCATCAGCTTACAACTGCGATCGGTTCCGACTGACTGGTCGGAAGTCGGGCTTCATTTTATAAGCAGAAAAGATCATAGTGTGGCACCGGGCGGACCCAGGCATCACAGGAGCAGAGGGAAACACAGAGACTTAGTTACTCTTTATTTGCAGCCCATAAAAGGACCACAACAGGCACCCAATGAGCACCGACCCCCAAGACACAGACGTGAAACACAAGGTTGTCAGACGCCGAACTGCAAGATGAACACATGGTGCGAGATTTACATAAGCTAAATACAGGCGAGGATATAGAATAAGGGCTATTTACAATTCCACATGGGGCATGCTGGGACATGCGCCCTGAAGGTGCTACAATATATATAATATACTGTATAATTAAATTATATCATCTTAAAGTCATATGCTTGGTGTTTTTAACCTTTTTATCACCATTTTCTTAATTCATTATTGTTATAACATTTTTAATCACCGTTTAAGCTGCTAAGACAGATATGGATACTGTACTGTCTATGACAGGGTGGCCAATCTTACCTGCAAAGGGCCGGTGTGTATGCAGGTTTTTGGGATAACCTGTAGGCCAGCTGTGTAGCCCAGGTGTGTAGGCGTCGCTGGCCATCCTGTTCCCTCCTCTGAATTGTAGCCCATTAATCGCTAGCGTGTCTGCCTGCTTCCCAGGCTGTTGCATGGCTTAATGGGCTAGGCGGCTAGCCACTGTTCACAACTTCCCTTTTTGCTGAACTATTTTTTTTGATTTGTTGTTTTATGTTCTCTTCAGGGGGTGGCATGGTGGTGCAGTGGTTAGCACTGTTGCCTCACACCTCTGGGACCTGGGTTCAAGTCTCCACCTGGGTTACATGTGTGTGGAGTTTGCATGTTCTCCCCGTGTCATCGTGGGGTTTCCTCCAGGTACTCCGGTTTCCCCCCACAGTCCAAAGACATACTGAGGCTAATTGAAGTTGCTCAATTGCCCATAGGTGTGCATGTGTGAGTGTGCCCTACAATGGGCTGGCCCCCAGTCTAGAGTTGATCCCTGCCTTATGCCCATTGCTTCCAGGATAGGCTCCAGACCCCCAACAACCCAGTAGGATAAGCAGGTAGGAAAATGGATGGATGTTCTCTTGGTTTCTTAAGTGTATGCATTCCAGTTACAATCCCTTATGTTTCAACCTGCTGTATCTGTTAATTGACAGCACCTGCTCCTCATTGCCCCTATTTCTTTATAGCCCACCCTGCCCCTTGTTAGTCCTGATTATTTGTGTATTTAAGTGCTTGCCTTTGTTCTGTTCTTCAGTCAGTCATTCTAGCGGTTACTTTATGTATGTTTCCACTACAGCTCTTTGTCGTTCCCGTTATTGCAGTCCGGTCCACCTGCTCCATTTCGGATCTTCCTGCATACGCAGGATCAGCAGTCATCTTGATCACCAACACCTGGGCAGCTCCTTACTTAGACACCTACCCACATGCTCAGTAAGAGCTTTTGTTGACTCATGTGACGTACTGAGCGGTTCTCCCTTGTTTCTTGTGTTACCCTGAATTGCCAAGTCCCCGCTACCCTTCCCCGGTGTACTTACCTTACCTTTCACTCCTCCTGTCTTCATAGGACTGATTCCCCTATCTAATGACTTCTCTGTCTCCATCACCCCAACCATGGTAACCCACTCGCCGAGTCCACATCTGCCTACATTTGCTACTAATAAATCCCCCGTGTTCTGCATTTGGGTCCTCGGGTCTCTATTCGTTACTCAAACCTTGGCGATCAATGGCGTATACCACATGTACATATGATCGCATGTACTCAACAGGCGAATCGAGAGCATGATTGATCGAAAATCTTAAATGTATTTGGTACATGGCTCTAAGAGAAGCCTGACAACTGCTGAAACACTTTATAATGTAAAATATCTTACATATCTTACATAAATATTTTACGGTATAAGCCTTCAATAAAATAAAACAAATATAAAAATAGCAAATTACAATAATCATATCCTATGTATATCTCCATCTGTTGATTTTTAAAAACGAAATAAGCAAAGTAATGTCAGCTTCCTTGTGAGACACTAACTGAGTATTTTAATTTTAGCTCTGAATGCTGTTCAGTGGGACGACCTAAACTCCCCTGTTGTTTACAGCCAGGAATATTATATGTTTGTATAAAAATCTATGCTCATACTGTTTTCCCATTTGGGTAACAAAATGCTGCAAGTGATCAAAGAAATAACTTCAGACTTTAAAAGTAACGCAGTTAAGGCATTTCCCATAAATTTATTTCCACACACACACCTGAGAAAGAAAATACTATATATACACTATTCTTATGTCAGTCATATTGCTATATGCTACTATCATATAATGTTTTTCTTTACCTCAGACTTTTACCAAAGATATCCTTCATAACCGAAATAATCAATTCGTTATTTGGTTTCTATGCACGATTGCCTAAATATTTTATATTTTGGGCACAATAAAACACACAATACACAAAAGAAGCAAAAGCACCGCTGGAAAAAAAAATACTTTTCGTGCTTCCCTTAGTAATGACTGTGTTAAGGGCATCAGAAGGCTGTGTTCTTGTGCTGGCATTTGACTATGCAAACAAGCCTCTCAAATCTGAGTAGATTCGGATGTAAAGTATTAGTGATTGCCTTGCTTGAGGAGTTTCCTTCAGTCTGGCTCAGCCTACTGCAAACATGGAATGCAGATGTAATGATCTTTGACATATTTGCCATCGAAAGAGTGAAGAAATAACCACAGTCTTTAAAAGATCA